TTTAGTAGAGATGGGGTTTTGCCGTGTTGCCCAAGCTAGTCTCAAATTCCTGAGCTCAGGCAGTTCGCCCATCTCGGCCTCCCAAAATGCTGGGATTACAGGCATGAGCCATTGCACCTGGCCCAAAAACTCTTTTTCTAACAGTAATATAAATTGTCTTTTACAGGCCATACTCAAATCATATGTTTCTTCTTTCAGAAATAGGTGTTAAGTGTGTCTAACATGAAATGTATAGCTATAATTCTCATTGTGAAACCATAGCCTAATTTATTTCAAATTACAATTTAAAATTCATATTTTTTAGAAAATTTTCTTAGATTAAACCCACCTAGTTCTAGGTACTACAGTCCCAAGATTTCTTTCTTTTTAACAAATTAAATATAGGTAACATGAAATTGTAGTCAAAGTATATTGGAACCTGGGAACTTCAACATTTGAACTTTGTTTTGAAATATAATTTGTTATAAAAATATATATTGCACTGGGAAGTCAGGGACTTTTAAAAAAATTATCTTTGTATCTCCTACACTTTATAGAAAAGTGCTATTTATATAAAAAATTATTAATAGAAGTCTTCAGCTGTAAAGTCTGCTGTATAGACTTCAGATCAGCGATTGGCAAACTATGAGCCATGTGCCAAATCCTGTCCTTCACCTGTTTTGTAAATAAAGTTTTATTGGAACACATTCAGACTCATTCATGTACATATTGTCTATGATTTCTTCTCTGCTACTAAGCAGAATTGAGTTGTTGCAATTGCGTGGCATCAAAAGCCTATAATATTTATTCTTTGGCTCTTTGCCAACTCATTTTAGATTATAAGCACTTTGGTATTAATATGTTGTTGTTTTCTTTCTATCGCTCATGGTAAGATATTCTGCCCACATTGTGCATAATTTGTGAATTTATTCAAGGATTTATGCAAGTGTAGCTGCAAGGAAAAAAACCTAGAAGTGAACTTGCTAGGTTGAAGAGCATCTGTGTATATTAAATTTTGTTAGCTTTCACCTTCCCAAAGGGATTATTCCAGTTCATACTTAAATTATGAATTTTGTGATAGGGCCTCTTTCTTCATAGCTTTGCTAACTTAGTGCATTCACGCACTTTACTAATCAGATAGAGGAAAATAATATTGTGAATTTGGTTTGCATTTCTGTTTTTTTTTTTTTTTGATAGCATTTCACTCTTGTTGCCCAGGCTGGAGTGCAATGGGGCGATCTTAGCTCACATCAACCTCTGCCTCCCAGGTTCAAGCAATTCTCCTGCCTTAGCCTCAAAATAGCTGGGATTGCAGCCGCCTGCCACCATGCCTAGCCAATTTTTTTGTAATTTTAGTAGAGACAGGGTTTCACCATGTTGACAGGGCTGGTCTCGAACTCCTGACCCCAGGTGATCCACCAGCCTCAGCCTCCCAAATGCTGGGATTACAGGCGTATGCTACCACACTCATTTCATGTGTTAGACTGAAGTTATTTTCATATTTAAAGCCACTGTATTTCTTTTTCTTGAGCTATCTTTTAATGTCTTTCCTGATACATTTCTCAAGTCTGTGATACTCATATAAGATATATAGTGAACACGTGTCAAAGATATATTTGACTATAATGAGGGAACCAGCCTGATGACAAGGCTGATTCAGAGGAGGATGTGTGAGACTGAAGCGTATATCATCAGTGAAAGAAAGCAAATTTTTACAGGGTAAAAACAAAATCACAATTTGAAGAGTTATTTTTTCTACTGGACAGAATTTTTGCATTTTACCAGATAAAAATTACTGTTTTCAGTTTATCTTTTACAAGTCATTTTCTAATTTCACAGAGTCTATTTTCTAATCAGTGGTAAATAGTCATTCAACGTTCTCCAGAGCATCAGGTGACTATTACGCAGGCTAATCGTTGATACTCGGGCTTGACGTTAGAAGGACATGGCATCATCTTTTGGCCTTATTTTCAAGTTCTGGATAGTTTTTCTTAATATTTTTCTCTAATTGAAATGATTTCAACTGATATTATTTCTGTATGACTTAATAATGAACTTCTAAGAAGGTCACATAAAGGCCTCTTCTAAAACACACTCATCGTTCCTTTTTTCCTCTGTAGGAACTCATTATACAATGACAGATGGAGGCAGCATTAACAGTTCTGCACATTTACTGGATTTTTGGATCAACCAGTTCCAGATGTTGGTACATATCATGATTTCCATACTATTGACTGGGTGAGAGAAAAATGTACAGACAGAGAAAGGCATAGACGGGTAAGTGTTTTTAGTAACTTCTAAAAATATGGTGCATAATTAGATCATTTAATAATATATTTCTCCCAGTGATCTCAGGCTGCCAAAATATTTTTACATTTAATATAAATAAATGTCTACGTTTCATATGTGGTACATATTTTTTTTTCTTTTTCTGTGTTTAATTTTTTTAGTTTACACTTATACCCCGTATCTTTCCAGAAAGGATTTCAGGTAGCTAAAAAACAAGGAAATACAATAAGAAGTCAAAATAAGAAGGAAAGGGAAAAATACAGCACAGGAGTTGGAGAGAATAGGCCAAGTTCAAGTTATGGAGATCGGCATGATTTTTGGCTTGGAGCAGCACCGCAGTTCAAAGGCGAAAAAGGAAACTCATTGCGTAACTCTTACCTATTGAAAAATAGGAAATCTACTAGGGGCAGATAGTTTTGAGGGATTTTGCTGTTTTCTTTTATCCCCTTTCCAGTGTTTGATTCTGAGATATTTTTCAACGTGGATCCCAAATAAATCATATTGAGTGTTGTAATGATTCACTAAGTGTTTTTCTTAAAAATGGCTTTAACATATAAAAGTATAATATATGGATCCTTGTTGTTTGTGGTCATGACTTACTGAAAATGAAATCCAAAATTCATTTTATTATTTATTTATATTTAGAGACACAGCCTCACTCTTTTGCCCAAGCTGGGGTACAGTGGAGTGATCTTGGCTAACTGTAACCTCTGCCTACCGGATTCAAGCGATCCTCCTGCCTCAGGCTCCTGAGTAGCTGAGACTACAGACATGCACCACCATGCTTGGCTAGTTTTTATACAAAATATGTTTTAAAAAATATGTGTGTGTGTCTGTGTGTGTGTGTGTGTGTGTGTGTATTTTGAGACAAAGTCACCCAGGTTGGAGTACAATGGTGCAATCTTGGCTCACTGCAACCTCTGCCTATCAGGTTCCAGTGATTCTTGCACTCAGCCTCCCGAGTTGCTGGAATTACAGATGTGTGGCATCGTGCCAAGCTGATTTTTGTATTTTTGGTAGAGAGGCAGTTTTGCCATGTTGGCTAGGCAAGACTTGAACTCCTGGTCTCAAGTGATGCACTGACCTCAGCCTTCCAAAGTAGAAAATCTTATTGAAAAATAAAATTCCAAATCTCAAAAGGCCCTATATAATTTTGGTGTGGGAAATTTACTTGTCAATGCAAATGACTATTTATGCAAATTAATTATAAGCTTCCATATTAATGTATATGTGTGTGAAACCTAAAATTGAGATTACATTATATTGTTTATGAAAGGTACAGTTTCTGAGACTTATCAGATGACATATACTTTTAGGGCATATCTTAAAAATAAAATACAGTACATAAATCAGTATTTTAATCCAGTGATTCTTAAGCTTTTTGGCCTCAGATTCCCTTTAAACTCTTAAACAATATTGAAGACCCCCAAGGAGCCTGTGTTTACATGTTTTTTTATCAACAGATATTTACCATATTAGACACTAAAACTGAGGAATTTTTTTAGAAAACTAATTCATTTTAAAATAACAGTAACAAACCCATTATATGTTAATATAAATAACATTTTTACAAAAATATATTTTCAAAAAAATTTAGTGAGAGACATCATGCTACATTTGTTATAAATCTCATTGTCTGGCTTAATAAAACACTGCTGGATTCTCATATCTGCTTTTGCATTCAATATGCTATATATTGGTTTTATGGAAGTATATGAAGAAAATTCAACCTCATACACAGATAATATAGTTAGAAAAGCTATGAGTATTTTAATAGTCTTTTAAGATTATTGCAAATACTATTCTTCGATACCGCACTAAACTGACAATTGTTAATTTATTAAAGGTTAGTTTTAAGGTGTACTTTGAAACTGTATCAATGAATTTTGTCTTCTGTTACATTAACATGCATGGATTTTGAACCTTGAACTTTGAACACATGATTTTATAACATTATGCAATGGTCATTTGGAAAAATATTGATTCGCTGATTTGTGTGGATCTTTTAAATGTTGATACTTTTATTGTATAATGTAATATTTAAAAAATCACATTTGTTAATTTTACCTTTGATCTCTTCAGAGAAGTATCTAAGTATTGGGAACCTATCATCCTCACAGTGATAGATACAAGTTTCCTAAAATTCTCATTTTTACTGGAGAGTTCAAATTCTATCATTGGAAACAAACACACATTTATTTTACTTAAAGATGACAGGATTACTTGATTTCATTATTGAGAAAATGCCTGTGAAATTCCCAAGCTTGAAAAACCGTAATTTGGTGTCATTCTTTCAAGTAAAAATGGTATTCCGTGTAAGTATTTAGTTTATTTTGCAACTCAAATAAATTACACAAGTGCTTTTCTTTAGGATATAACCTCATACTTCCACATGCAGCAGACATGGGTAGTTATGCATAGTTCTTAATTCATCACCCAAAATATTAAAAGACTCAGTGATTGAGGCATAGCAGTTTTGACTGCTTCATCAAAGATGCTCTTATTTGAACCTGGCATTTTATTTATTTATTTGATTTTACTGGGAAGCATGGCAGTCAAGAATATAATGACTGCCAGCACATTTGAGTGCCACTGCCTGATTTTTGCTAAGGAGCCAGCAGTTTTGCCACTGGTTTTGCGTTTTCAGCAAAAATGTCAACACAGTGAAAAAGGCACAGAATGCCTTATATTATTTTGTAAACAGTTTTATCTTGCAGAGTCCTTGAAAAGGTCTCGGGGATCTCCAAGGTGTCCATGAATCATACTCTGAAAAATCACTATTTTAATCCAAAGTGCCTAGATCAGACACACTATAAATCCTGTGTCTTGTATGATCATTAGGTAAATAGAATTGTATTTAGAAGTATACATTCAGAGACATTAACAGGATTCAGGCTGGGATTTAAGTGTTTTTAAAGTGTGGTACCTGGGTAGTATCCATGACACTGTGTTCATAAACTTTTAGAGAAAACTGAGACCAAAGGAAACCAAAACAGGCTGGTGACAGTGGCTCCTGTCTGTAGTCCCAGTGCTTTGGAAGGCTGAGGCAGAGAATCACTGGATCCTGGGAGTTTGAGACCAGTGTGGGCGACTACAGAGACTATCTCTACACAACACAACAAAAATTAGCTGGGTATAGTGTCTTGTGCCTATAGTTCTAGCTACTTTGGAAGCTGAAGTGGGAGGATCTCTTGAGCCTGGGAGTTCGAAGTTACAGTGAGTTATGATTGTATCACTGCCCTTCAACCTGAGTGACAGAGAAAGACCCTGTCATCCTTCAAAACAAAAAACAGTTTTTCTCTGAGTATGTTAATGGTTAGTCTACAGTCCTTGAAAACATTGCAAATGCTATAGCAATATATGAAGTAGCCAATATGTGTCCTAGCTAATTTTATCAATCATCTCTCTTCCTAGACCAATTAAAAAATAGTTTTCAATATTTGGATCTGTGCTTATATAAACAAAATTTTTTAAAGCTGGAAAATTCCACACATTTATATTCTATTGTTCTTAAAACATTCTTTTTTCTTTCTTTTTTTTTTTGAGCAGAGACTCCCTCTGTTGCCCAGGCTGAAGTGCAGCGGTGTGATCTCGACTCCCTGCAACCTCCGCCTTTCAGGCTCAAGCAGTTCTCATGCTTCAGCCTCCCAAGTAGCTGGGATTACAGGTGTGCACTGCCATGCCTGGCTAATTTTGGTAGTTTTAGTAGAGATGGGGTTTTGCCATGTTGATGAGGCTGGTCTCAAATTCTTGGCCTCAAGTGATCCGCCTGTCTTGGCCTCCCAAAGTGCTGGGATTATAGGTGGGAGCCACTGTGCCTGGCCTACATTAAGTTTTAAAGTCTTTCTATGTCATTGCATATGCCCAACCTAATTCTTTTTTTTCTGTCAACTTTTTTGTTATACTGGTAGGTAGCCTTCCTACCCCAGATTCTTTTGAAGCAAATTGACATTCTGTAATTTCAAATATTACTATATTGGTATTTTACAAAATGGTTGCAGTTTAATTGTTGTCCCTTTTTTACTTATTAGTTTGCATATTTCTACAGATAGTTTACCCCGCATCAACCATTTGGATTCCCTGAAGTACAGATGGTACAGGAAAGGGAGAAATCTTGAAATACTAGGTTCCTCAGCATCCTCAAAGTTGACCAATGAGATTTTTTTGCTTGTTTGGTTGTTGTTTGTTTCTGTGTCTTCATGGACTCATGAATTTAAGTATATTTGTGTTTTTTATGGATTTAGGTGTATGTGTGTTTTAACAATCACAGTTATTATCCTTATTGATATTCATGTTATTCATTTTAGATTAGTGGGAGCTTAGTTTGCTATCTATGTCCTCTGTCATGTCCTTAAATAATCCTAATCCTAGTCCCAATTCATTGTAGACATTTCCTGCAGCAAAGCTAGAATCAGCCATTTTTCCAAGAAGTTCTGATTCCATTGAAGAAAACTATAATATAGGTAGAATCTAGGCAGCAGGTGGTATTTATTACTTCTGGGTTGGCTATTGCTTCTAGCCTCCTAAGTTTATATGACTCTTCTAATTTAAATTCATAACTATAGGGCTAAACCTTTAGTTCTGAAATCTGCATTTCCCTTAAGTCATGCCAAAAATCTGAGTATCACAAACATAGTCATTTCATTTATCCTGCAATACACACATACAACACTGTCAAAATAACAGTACCAACACCATCACCAATAATATGCCTACTGAAAAAATTTAGGTAATCTGCTTCCAGCCTCCCAGGTAGCTTGGACTACAGATGCACACCACCATGCCTGGCTATTTATTTATTTATTAAAGAGACTGGGTCTCGCTATGTTACTCAGGCTGGTCTGAAACTCCTGACCTCAAACAATCCTCCTGTCGTTGCCTTCCAAAGTACAGAGATTACAGGTGTGAGCTGTTGTGTCTGGCCTGTCCTTTATTTATTCCACCACAGTTATACATACAAATTACTTTGTTGCGAAGTCCCTTGGGATAGTTTCTTCTGTGTCATTATGTTACCAGTTAGGTGCACCTTTGATTCATTTCATTTTACTTCAATTTTTAAGGTTTGCTTTTTAGATTTAGTTTTGTTTCTTTATAAATATATGAAATATTTCCATGACTCCAAAGTTAAATGTACAAAACAGGATGTTCAAAGAAGTCTAGTTTCTACCTCTGTCCTGTCCAACCTATTGTCTTCTGCCTCTTATAAGTAATAATTTACATTTTTAACTTTATGGTTTATCTTCTGATTTTTAAAAATATAAGCATATATATTTATATTCCTGTCTTTTATCATACTTTTAGCTATCTTGCTTTTTTCCTGCATAACACTACATCTATCTCATTCTTTCTTAATTGCTGCAGAATTTTCATTACGTAGGTATACTGCAATTTATTTATATGATGCTATATTGATGAACATTTAAATGATTTCCAGATTTTTGTTAGGAACAGTGATGATTGAATTCTCTATACATACAGCTTTTTATTTGGTACACTATCAAACAACTACTTAAGTGACCTGACTGTGGTGCTGTGTAAGGAATTATATAAAGAAAACAGCAGTGACTCTGTCAGAAAATAATATTATCATGCTTTCTTACACATTACATTTGTTTTTATTGAGGAAAAGTAACATGGAGTTTAGTGGTTATTTTTGAAAGAAATAACCTATTTTTAATTCTAAAGAATGGCCAATATCTGTATTTGGTTGCTTATAGGATAGAAGGAGTAAAATTGCCTCATTCAACTTAGAACTTACTGAGTCATTTTAATGGAGCATTGTCACTTCAAATAGACCCAGTGTTTGAAATGCACTGGGTCATTGAATTCCAGCTGCAACCCTCCTTCAGAACAGTTAAGCACTGAAGTCCTGGGCTGAGAATATGGCTTTTTTAAAGCAACAATCCTAGTAGAACAGAAGAGACATGGACTAGTTAGGGATAGGTTTAGAAATACATTCTTAGAGAGGTGAGACTTACCTTTTTGTATTTTAGTAGAGTGAGATCTGGATCAAATCTATTACTCTCTTGTTAATATCTCCTAACTTCCTACACTATATCCAAGAGAGGACACTTTTGCCTTACACAGTAAAGAAAGAGCCTCTGGAGTCTACCAATGGGATCGGAGCTCTCCAAACCTGCCTATTAAAAGGCCTATAAGTTTTGGAGGTGATCCCTTTGTCCACATGATTATTCTGTAACACATTGTATTTATGGGCATGGCATTATTATACACAGATCCTATCTTTTAAAAAACATTATAATCCACTTAACTGCAGACCAGAGAATGACAGACAATTCAAACCATATTGTCTTACAAAGACATATATAAAAGATAGTTATGTGTACCAATTGAAGTTCAAATTTAATTCAATTTAAAACAATGTAGGTCAGATTTTATGTAGTTTGTGGACCCTTTGCACTCATCTCAAGGTGCTTATTAAAATGCAGATCTTGGCTGGGCATGGTGGTTCATGCTTGTAATCCCAGCACTTTGGAAGCCAAGGTGGGTGGATCACTTGAGCTCAGAAGTTCAAGATGAGCCTGGCCAGCATAGCAAGGTCCTATCTCATTTATTAAAAGAAAAACTTTTTAATAAAAAATAAAATGCAGATCTTGGGTAAAGATTTGCCATCTGCTTTACAGGTGTAATAACTGTCTATAATGTAGTGATTTTGCCCCAAACTTACCTTTTCTATTACTTAGTTCAGAAATTACTGTACCATGTATGGTAAATGAGAAAAATTGCTAAATTCTAGAATTGTGGCTTCTACTCATAGTTTGAAAAATGAAGCATAAATGTTTCTAATTTCAGATCAATAGGAAAAAAAGAATCAGCATGGGAAATGACAAAAAGTTTGTATGATATGTGGTTAGGATGGTTAGTAGTAACACTAACAGCATTGGCATCAGGTAAAGAAAATTTTTCCAGCAATCCTTTTTTAATTAACAGAAGTATAAATCATTCTTCCCTCATTCTCTCCATTTTTTTTTCAGGTACTGTTGGATTTTAAAAAGCATTTGTTTCTCTTCTTCCAAAAATCTTCTTAAATATAAGACTAGGAAGCAGGTGGCTTCCAAGTCTAGTCTTGGCTCTGTCACTTTAAGTGTTTATCCAGCTTGGCTGATCTTTCTGGGCTCAGTTTCTACATTTGTAAAATAGGTGGTTTGGATCAGATGATCAATAAAGTATCTTTTGATGTTAACATAATAAATAGCCAATATGTATCGACTGCTTCCTATGTGTTGAACACCTTTCTAAAAACTTTACATGTATTTAAACCTCATGGCAATCCTATGGTATCAGTGCTGTCATTGTCACCAATTTGCAGAGAGGGGACTGAAGCAGAAGAGAAGTAAGTTAGTCTGATTAAGGTCATACAGCTTAGTAAGTGGCTAAGCCAGGATTTGAATTAAAGCTGTCTAGCTCAAGACCCTGTCCCCTTCATCACCCTGCTATACAGCATGGCCACAAAGTCCCAATGTATGAGATTTTAAGAAATTGCTGTTGAGGACCTGAAAACAAATATTAAGCCCTGTTATAATCACTTTCAGCTTCCATGATGGAGGATTATGCTCAGAAGACCACAAAATTAAAATCTTTGTAGAGAATACAGGGAAGTACTGATAATTCTAATTGCCATGCATAATAATTTTATGGCCTCTGTGTATGTAACACACTGATGTTTTTATATGATAAGAAGGACCCAGATTTGACCATAAATTTGTGTATTTTTTATATTCTTACAGTAAAATAATCTTGATATATGGTTTTCTGTACTTTAAGAAAAAACTATAAATATAAATCCTATGAGTTTTGATAATTATTTCTAATGGACATTAAATTTTGACGAGATATCATTTACGTATAAGTCTGTTAATCAAGTTATGGATTGAAAAGTAGGTTTCAGAACTGCCTGCCAAGTAGTTGTCTTTTGAAGATATTTCAGTAGCTTTTAACACTGTTTTTTGAATCACAATTAATTTGAAGCTTTTTAAAATTCCGAACAAAGATAGAAATTTTGTAAAAAATAACTCTTCAGTTTTAAAATATATGTTTATAACTAAAATGTGAAAATCTTAACTTTATATGTAGTTCTTAAATTACCCTTTATTTAGGAGTCTCCTGCTTTCTGCTCATCTTTTATCTAGATTGTTCTCAACTCCCAAAAGGTTGACTTATTTTTTGACCATCTCCAGCATATTTTTACAGGGCATTGGCCGGATTAATAGACATTGCTGCTGACTGGATGACCGGCCTGAAGGTGGGCATTTGCCTTACTGTGTTGTGGTACAACCTCGAACAGTGCTGCTGGGGATCTAATGAAACAACATTTGAAGAGGGGGATAAATGTCCATAGTGGAAAACATGGGCAGAATTAATCACAGGTCAGTTAGAGATAAGTCTTGCTTTGTCTCAAGATGAATTAATAACTGATGTAGCAAAATGTTTCCAATTCATTTAATTATAGAATGAATTACACGTTAGATGATTGCATCCACATTAAATGGATCCACCCTCAACACACTGCAGCAAGAAAGAATTAAGTGCAGTATTGTTTCAAGAAGTTTTGTATCAAGAAGTTTTGTATTAGTTAACTACGTAGTCATATAACAAATTCACTGGATTGTGATGCAAAAATATTTAAGCTGTAGTAGAAAAGAAGTGACAGTTACTGCAGTAGGATCTGTGTAAAGTTACTAAGAAATCCAGTTATTAAAACTAATATATTACCAAGATTGGGAAGTTTAAATTATGAAAGTATGATTATCAGATAAGTTAGTAAAATCAACTTTCTAAGTAGAGATACATTAAAGAAAATCAGAGATTTTTATTTGTGACATAAAACATTTAAATAATTCATGTACTGTGATCTACAAAGAACATTCTAGAACTTAGGGTGTTATATATATTTTTTTTACATGATGACATATAGATGTATTTTTTTAATTTTGTTTTAGCTGAACTTCAGAGCTAAAAAGTTGCAGTAAGATGAGGAGTATGCTGTTTCTCACCTGGCTTAATTGAATTGAGTTTAATTTAATGATCTGGAAATTTGCAGCAGAATGAAATCTGAGTGCTGATGCAATTTGTTTCCACCTCTGTTTCCAAAAAAATGGTTTGTAGGCAGAGGTTGAAGTATACCTGAGTTGTCTTGGTAACAAGACTTTAGGGATTAGGAAAAAGATTAAATGGCCTCAAGGATCCTTGGTATATAGAGGCATTAATTTTTGGATTCTACTTAAATATTTTGTTCATATAAAGCTTTTACTATTGTAGAAATAAACTAGGAGACTTTTACACATTTTACTGAAGTTTCTTTTTTTTTTTTTTTTTGAGATGGAGTCTCACTCTGTCACCCAGGCTAGAGTGCAGTGGCACAATCTTGGCTCACTGCAACATCGCCTCTGGGTTCAAGTGATTCTTCTGCCTCAGCCTCCCAAGTAGCTGGTGTTACAGGTGTGTGCCACCATGCTGGGATAATTTTTGTATTTTTAGTAGTGATGGAGTTTTACCATGTTGGCCAGGCTAATTTGATCACCAGGTCAAACTCCTGACCTCAGGTGATCCACCCACCTCCATCTTCCAAAATGCTGGGATTACAAGTGTGAGCCACCATGCCTGGCCATTTACTGAAGTTTCTTATGGCAAGCATTTGCATTAGAGGTACAATGTAAATTAAAATTAATACTTTTGAATTATTTTCTTTTTAGGGTCCTGGTTCTTAAATCATGAACTGTATAACGTACATCTTCTGGGCTTTCAGTTTTGCCTCTCTTGCAGTTTCCCTGGTAAAGGTATTTGCTACATATGCCTGTGGCTCTGGAATTCCAGGGGTAAGCCAAGTCATATTTAGTGTCATTAAACATTATTATGGTGCGTATCTTTTTACCCTTAGTGACAAAAAAGTAGGCTTTGTTGGAGGGAGGGGCTGGTTTGTTCATAATATGAAAAAAGGCCACTGTGGCTGATTGTAGACATTGTTGAAAAACATTGTTCCCCATTGTCATTTAATCTTTTACTATGGAGGTTGATTTTTTTTTTTCTCTCACCACTAATTTAACACATGGCTAGGCAAATTTTCAGAAGATTTAGTTAAACATCAAGAGCCTGGAAAAAGTATCCTGTGACCTAGTGTTCTTTGATGGATTAGTTGATATTTTGCTGTTATGACCCTGATTTTAATACATTCATTCTCTTTTTGTAATTACTTTTTGATTAGATAAGTTAATTATTCTTGAATTTGGATATTTTATGCTTTGAGAAAGTAGTTGGTCACAGTGGGTCAATAGTACAAACTTTTGGGTTTTATTTTTCATTAAAATAAAGTTATATATAGATTGATTGAACTTGATTTGAACTTACTTCTTTTCTCCCTCTTTTATTTTTCTGTATTTAAATAAGTTACCAACTTTTTCCTAATGCATTTCTTTTTAAAATGGAATCGTAGTGATCTTTAAGGTTGTATTAAGAATATCTTTCATAAAAAGCAATATCATGCATTATATAACAGTTTTCATTCATCTTTCTTGAAATATAAAACACGATTCCGCATAATTACAGTACTCAGAGAAAACATAATATTCTTATTTCTGACACAATGTCCAAAATATATTTAAAACGTTATGCTTATTTTTACAACAGAAATATTCAAATTTGCCTCTTTCTTGGTTATGTAAGTAAATCCTTATAATTAAGATCTGTATTCATTTTAACATGGCCTGACATTTTGATTTTGTTCCTGAGATTCAGTTGCCCTCTCTCCTTTCTTGGGTAGAGAATTAGATCATGATATCAACTTATTATATGTAGCATAATAGGTAAAATTTTTGAAAAACTAACCATACATTTTTCTATAGGTTGCTAAAATTTGCAAGGTCGTTTTTGTGTGTAAAACAAGAAAATAACTTGGATTTGTTACATTCTTATGCTTCTGAAAGGAAATTAAGCTGCCTTAATCTTTGCCTTGTACATTAAAACTATTTTGAGTGCATTCATTATCAGAGGTTACTTGGGAAAGTAGACTTTAATAATTGAAACCATCACATCAGTCCTGGCTGTGGCATCAGGCTTGAGTTTAGGAAAAGAAGGTCCCCTGGTCCATGTTGTCTGTTGCTGCAGAAATAGCTTTTCTCACGTCTTTCCAAAGTATAGCACAAACAAAGCTAAAAAAAGGAAGGTAAGTGTCTTTTGTAGTTAATTTGACTGAAAAATATCTATTATATAGAGTTTAAGTAAATAATTTCTTTGTGTAAAAATAACAAATTCTGTACTCAGATTAAAAATTTTGAGATGAATTTGTGCTGTTTTGCTTTTCCTGAATAATCTATAACACGTTTCTGGAACCCATTCCCAGTGTTGCTGACTTAGTCTTATATTATAGACAGCTGATGTCCATTGGGTTTTAGTTGCATTTCACAAAGATCTTTTATGTGTAAATTAATTTTGATTATTTCTAATTTATGTTCTGGAATGTAACAATTGACCATTTGAAGAAATACTTTAGGTAGCTTTGAATATTTGCTGGATTAAAGTAGTAAAAGGAATACAGACTCTTGGCCAGGTGCAGTGGCTCATGCTTAGAATCCCAGCACTTTCGGAAGCCAAGGTGAGCAGATCACCTGAGGTCAGGAGTTCAAGATAAGCCTGGCCAAAATGGTGAAACCCCATTTCTACTAAAAATACAAAAATTAGCTGGGCATGGTGGTGGGCACCTGTAATCCCAGCTACTTGGGAGGCTGAGGCAGGAGAATCACTTGAACCCGGGAGGCAGAGGGTACAGTGAGCGGAGACTGTGCCACTGCACTCCAGCCTCGTCG